TTTTGAAGGTGGTGGTGGTGGTGGTGGTGGATGATGTTGACGATGGTGGTGGTGTAATTGTTGTTGTTGGTAATGGTGGTGTTGCTCTTGTTGATTCTGTTGTTGTTGTTGTTGTTGTTGTTGTGTATGTTTGAGTGTGTGTGCAGGGGTGAAGGCTGACTCGTTTGACAGGTCAATCAAAGTTACTCGAGAAACCATATTATAGAGATGAGGTGACACGCCAACTTTTCTCCCATTTGGAACATCAACAAAACTCCTTCCTCGAGGCTGCATCACTGGGTTGCGAATGAAAACAAACCCTGAAATAATCCTGTGTGTTCAACCGTCCCAAAAAAATCAGGAAAATATCATATCTTATTTAATATTGATTCCCGCTTTTGACAAAACGTAATCATTGCTTTAAAGGTGCTGCGGTAATAATGCTTTCAAGATTTAGTTTTCTGCACTTAGTTTAACTAAATGGGTGAATTCACAAACACAAAGCATAGAAGCAGAGATGACAATACAACAAATAATGCGTATCATAATACATGACAATGATCAATTGGATTTCAAATTCGGCTGCTTTTGCCTAGCCTTCCGAGGCTTGGAGCCGAATGTCATAAGCAGGGACTGATATGATTATAGGACGGTAAAAAGTTGAGGAAAAAAGAAACCCGAGCACTCACAGCAGCAGTCTTGAAATTAATAGGAGTTAGTTCCTCTTATCTTTTTCAGCTATACTTCACCAGTCTAATCGTAAGCTTACATAATCAGTGCATGGTGACTGCTATGAAAGTGGTCCAAAAAGGGTGAACATCAACAGTGTATTTATGCGGCAAAGAAACAGGATGTTTATAGAGTTGTGCACACAATCCCTTAACCTCTTCGGGGTAGACTCTACCAGTCTGATTGTAAGCTTACCTAATCAGGGAGTGCTTTCTGACGGCTATGAAAGTGACTCGAAAAGTGTGAAGATCAACAGAGTATTTTTGTTCACATGTTCCCCTTAACCTCTTTGAGGTAGACTCTACCAGCCTAATTGTAAGCTTACATAATCATTGCCTGCGACTGCTTCCAACCAGCAGCAGATAGCTGGCGCCATCAGCAAGCCAACCCTTTGACGGATCCCAGAGAGGAGAATGGGGCCGCTACGGCGTTGGGCCGCCTGCAGTGATACCTAATCTCCAACCAAGTAATCAAGTAACCAATTAACCAAGTAACCAATTAACCAAGTAACCCATTAACCAAGTAAAACAATTAACCAAGTAACCAAGTAAATTAAGAAGTGCTTGTGGCTGCGTTAGAGAGAGTCCCAAAAGAGGGGCAAGGGCTATTAATGTGGCAATGACACAGCGTTAAACGTTGTGCGCACTGTCCTTTGGTGATTATGAACGTCTATTTACGTTTTCTAATTTATGAGGCCTACGTCTTGACTGAAGCAAATCATAGAAGACAGCTTATAACGAATATAAGAAAGCGACAGGCAAATTTCTTCGGACACACAATGCGGAAAGAAACATTGGAGAAAATTGTAACAACAGGCAAGTTTGATGGAAAGAGAGGCAGAGGCAGACAGAGGGAAAAGATACTGGACAAGATGACAACATGGCTAGGAGCAGCAAGAGCAACAGACACCATTGCCGCAACGCAAGACAG